TGCTCTACTACTGCACCTAAACAATAGAAAACAAATTATCAAACCTTTGCACAATATCACAAATGATTCATTAAATGGTCATATAGGCCTAAAAAACTGTAAACAATCATACTTTGATAGTTCTCATTGCGCATCACAGCTTTTGTTGCTGCTTAGTTCAATTAGCTATTGTCAAAAATTCAAACAAAAATGGCCTAATCGTGTTGTACCCTGTTGGTAAACCTTATAACGTTTTAATGCTTTTGCATATCATACAACTTGTTTAGTTGAAACAGCTGACTAAATTCTTTAATTCCTTTTACATGTGAATACTCATAAGGTTAACATAGGGATCCATAGAGCCACTGGGGCGGAGCCCGGAAGGACTTTTGAGATAAGAATAGGCTTATATGTTAATCGGGAATGTGAGCTATCATTATGCCAAATTTCAGCCCAATCCGTCCAGTAGTTAAAGCGTGATTGAACTTCAAACAAACAAACAAACAAACACGTCAACAAACAAACACCTAGTTACAGGGGTGCCCACAGGGGGGTTTGATGTCGCAAAATGCGACATCAGAAATTTATTTGGGGGGGATTTTATGATTTTGGGGGGGGATTCAAGCCAGTGGTTGGTTAAAAGCACATCAAAGATTAACCAGATAATTTTGACGACCTCCTTAATTTATTACTGGGGTAATTATGCAATCAAAATCCCGTTTGACATTTTATCTTGATTAATAAATCATTTTATAATTGCTATAAAATATATAGATACTTTTATGTGGATTTCCACTTTCTGACTCGTATCATGTTTGACAGTGAGAACAACTCCATGCAAACTGCTGTCAAAGGATTATGGTTGGCTTATTAAATTGTATCTGCAATTTGAGTTTGATTTTACCTTTAATTATGAACTCATTCTCAAATAGTCTCATTGCCTTGATGACCTATTGATGGTTTTTTAGGTTTGTTTATTATAATATATACTTGATTCATGAAAAAACAGTATTATGATAATGATAATCATTTTGCTATTTTTACAACATGAACAACAACATGAAAGCTTGTGATAATATTTTGGCTATCCCAAATAATTATGCCTGGGTCATTTATTCATTGGAAGAAATTGACATACAGTACTGTGACAATTTAATTAAGGTTTTTGATAGGCTATGTATTTACGTTAACTTCAAGAATTGAAACACATGATTCTGATTTAATTAAATTGTATTTGTTATTGTCTTTTCTTGAATCTAGAAAGAGCTTCAAACAAATTTTACTAGTCTTAGAATAGATATATAATTATTTTTTACGCCACGCTACACTATTTTGACGAAGTTCACATGCAAGGATTTAGTCCAGAAAACAGCTGTTTGTCACCAGCTTAATCAAATGGGGTTTCATACAGTACTACTGTACTGTAATAATTTTACCGGACACCAATCAGCTGATTATACTATATTTGGGTGGCAATGAGTGGTTATAACAAAAACATAACCTCTCTTAGAGGTTATGACTAGTGATTTTTAGTCCTTTAGTTGGTGGTAATATATAGGGATTTGAACGGATTTAGTAGTATGGCGTAAACTATCGTACGTCACTCGTCCAAAATGTGTTGGCCGGACTCGTATAAAAAAACCACTACTCGACTTCGTCTTTCACGGGATTCAGGACTAGTAACGTAATATACTCTTTTACCACACTATGATGTTTTAAACTGTTTTACATATAGGTACATTAATTGGTGGCTGAAAGTTACGTTTTGCAGGCCATGCCAGCTGTCATCGTCATTCGGGGATCGAGCAGGTTTTTACATCCCTAGGGCCGCAAAATCAGCTGCCCGCTTACTTTCTTAAAACATGAATGCATATTAAATACACAATCAGTATCCATAGCGTTGCAATAGAGTTGTTTTATTGTCACCGCTGCCTAGCAACTATTTATTATTATTTTTGCTGATTCCTCAAATTATTTATCCCCATGACCTTAAAGTTGTAGTTGTGTTGACTATTTTTATCAGTGTGCAGTGCATTATCATTGAGGTGAATTAGTGGTAATAGGGTATAGTGTGGTGAATAATAGCGTTCGTACCACGGACTGAAATGGTTTTGCAGTTCTCGATCGTTTTAAGTCCTCGACTTCGTATCGAACCGTATCGAACTTAAAAAACTATCTTGAACCAGCAAAACCTCATTTTTGGCCCTAGGCACGAAATATACTATTAAGTTTAGGCCTAGTAATATTTTTGAGACTGAAAATTTTACACTTATTTAAAAAGGACCAAACTCAGAAGTGGATTAAAGGGCAATTTAGAAAATATCTCAAACTTTTTGACGTAACTTTAAGTACTTTCTCCCTACAATTTAATATGGTAAAAAAAACTGTTTATGTAAAAACCCTGATCCCAAAAAAGTGGTTTTCGAAGTGATGTGTTTGTCTGTCTGTGTGTGTTTATGTGTGTATGTATGGTACAGAGCTACAGACCACGCCTGTGGTCCGAGTCCGATTTTGATGAAATTTTGTATTTTAGGTACCAATCAATGGTCTCTCCAGATGTTTTTTTTTTCATTTTGGATTTTTAATAGTGATATTCCATAAAACCCTATAAAATAATGAATGAATAAAATTTTCTCAGAATTGGCCCGAACGATTTTGATTAAAAATTAACATGTTATACTTTTTGTCAATGACAAAAAATGTATAAACCCTCTATGCCGTAAAAATTATGGTTCAAAAGTATTGCATCTTTTGTGATTTCCCCTTTTAAAACCTATTAATTCATGGAAAATCGGATTAAAAAAAACTACATGGCCAATTTTGATTCAAATTGTGTGCATGTTAAAAATCCAACTCATTTAAATTAAAACTAAACTAATAAATAGTTTGCTACTAGAGTTTTAAAGCAAAATTGTCCATTTAAATTGGGTTAAAAGTTTGATTCAAACGCTTAAATTCCCATAAATTTAAAGAAGTGTCGAAGGCACCCCTTCCCTCCCCGCATTATAAACATAACTATGGGTTAGCCCCCAGACCTTCCGGCATGGGTTGTTAAACAACGAATTTGGGGGGGATTCTGCGACGTGAGCTTTGGGGGGGATGGGCACCCCTGCCTAGTTATAAAACCAAACAGTAAAAAACAAATAATTAATTTAACTACCTATCAAATAATGGAAACACAATTTTGTCGACACTAGTGATCAGTGTCACCGGACATGAACTAGACACGAAAATCGAGCTTCAAAGTTTACAATGGGATGTAAAGTTTACTTGTGTGTTGGTTAGTCTATGGTAAGACTATAATGCATTTTCCACCCTAATAATCATAAGAATAATGTTAAACATACTTCCAAATACTGGGTGGCGCATAAAGAACGCATGGATTTCAGTTGAGTGGTGAGAGCAATAAGAGCATCCGTGGAGGGACAGGACCTGGTTGTTTTGTAGGTTAGGGCGTCCAGTTTTAGTAGCAATGGTGCAATCGACCTGGCGCAACGCGTTTTTGCTGTAGAACATTTATTCAAAAATAATGAATCTGATATAACTGTTCAATGGCTTCTTCGTGCACAGTTCAATGGTTCAAAACAAAACCCGATCGCAACACAATACTTTGTTGGGTAGCTTCTTGAAGTTTGGTCGTCCTTGCACGGTGCGAACTCCACACAATGTTGACAGAGTAAGGGCGTCTGTTATTCAAAGCCCTCGCCGCTACACTAGGCGATGCGCTCCAACTGTGTGCTTGTCTTGACGCTCGTTGCAGAGCAACCTGAGAAAGATGAGTTAAAATTTCAGCTTTACAAAATTAACATCGTACAGAAGATTTATGAATGTGATTACGAAAAATGAAAACTGTTTTGAGAGAATGGTTGATGTTCTTGCCACTGATGGCGTTTTGTTTATGATGTTAATGATGGAGCGCAGTTTCATTTGAATAGTTATGTCAATAAGCGAAACTGGCGCTATTTGGCAGCAGAAGACCCAAAAGAATTGCATCAAAAACCACTGCACGATTTGAAACTTAACGTTTGCTGTAACTTTCGAAAGTGGGAATTCTTTGGCCTTACCGTACTTTTTTGAGGACTCGCGGAACATACTTTGTGCAGAAAAGCCGTTGAACAGTTTTAACAGATTTAATTACTTTTGAATAAATGTTCTACCGCAAAAATGCGATGTACCATGGACCATTGCACCATTTCTACTAAAACTGGACACCTTAACCTACAAAACAACCAGGCCCAGTCCCTCCACTACGCTCATATTGCTCTCACCATTCAACTCAAATCCATGCGTTCTTTATGCGCCACCCAGTATATTTATTTATCGACTATGTTGCTCTTACTCCTAATTAATCGTAGGATACGACATTATGGTACCGATACGATATAGGTACTACACTTTCGGCAACACTGGCCAAAAATATTCGTGCTTGGCTCCCATTGGACGGCCCGCGAGGCTTCTGATTGGGAGTTAGCGAGTTCCGCCGAGGGACCGAGTTAGCGACTTCCGTACGAGGACGGAATTCGCTAACCCGGCTCTAGAGCGGGTTATCGGGTTCCGGAGTTAGCCAATTCCGAAACCGAACAAGTTAGCGAGTTCCTCTCATCGACCAAATTTGAAGATAGGGCGTTTAACATGGGGTTAGCGAGTTCCAGAGTTAGCCAATTCCGCAGACCCAAATACACTCATAAAAAAATATGTGAGGTAGGTAAATTATTTTGATTGGTCACAGCGTCACTCACACTAAAACGTAAAGAATTTTTAGTTAGTCAAAAGGTTACATAGCGCAAAAAAACCAGCAAAAATGTTCTAACTTCTTCACTGAGATCTTTATTAGAAAACTATCTATTTGGGAGTGGGCTACTCTTCTATACGGAAACGTTGGCGGTCTGGCCCGCCTTTCTTCCAAAAATTGTTAAAGTGGCCCTAAGTAAAAAGTGTTGGAGACCCCTGACTTATTGCATTGGAACAAAATAGTATTACCAAACTTTCAATATTATACATTGTACACAAAGGTGACTTACTGGAAGAAGTCTTTCATGTCACTCCAAGTGTAATTTCTCTCGTAGGTTTCCACGAGGACTTCGTTAGGTTTCCAAAATAGAGAAGAAGGTAAGAGCCAGGCCAATGATGGGGCAGTGATCTGCATGTTGCGTAAAACGCTCTGACGTAGAACGTACACACCAAGATCGTCTCCTGAGAAGGAATAAGAATTAACCTTGATTGGTTGGAGCTGATAGTACAGCTACACAACACAAACATTTATCACTATTCCAATATTTGTGTTATGAGGATGCATGCCCTTCTTTTATGGCTTACTTAAAAAAGTTATTAGGTAACAAAAAACTTGGGAGATCCAGTCAAAAAACGTGTTTGCATGATGGGAATACGCCCAGTTATGTTTTTTTTTCTGTATGAGGGGCAGACTCAGGGTCCTGGTATGTCAACTGAATATCCAGTTGCTTTACCAGCCTGGAAATAATAATAAAAGAGAAAGACATGCAAGGGATTAAAATCTCCTCTGAAGGAGTTGCCACAGATTTCAAGTCACACTTTTTCTTTGGGTAAACATGTCCCCAAAATTTGTTAAAATACTAACTCCTCCATAATTGGCCGAACACTAACTTATTCAGTGTATCTCAACACCTACCGACAGCGTAGACCTTGATCGCCTTAACAGATCCTCCCCAGGCCCCTGACAGAGTGATCATCGCCCTAATGTACTGATCCTTCCACTTTTGCGACTGTTGGTGTAGAAAATACAGTGACATCGGGCCGCCCATGCTGTGTGCTAACAAGACGACTGGAGTGTTGTTGTTAGTCTTGTATGTCTCTTCTACTAGAGCCTTAAGCTTCACAAAGAACTCTTGGTTCTCATCTGAAAAAATGGTTAAATTTGTGACTAAAAATACCAGAATGCATAATTATCGGCAAATTAAACATTATTATTATTTACATTTGAAGTAGCCTAAAGTTAACACATTAATTATGGTGGTGGTTGCCAAGAACCTTTTACAATAGACTACTGGTGCAGTCAATTGTGTTGAAATCTGTCTTGAACAATATGAGTCAGTTTAATCCTGAAAAAGGGTCTAGGAGCCTTTTCATGGTTTGAAAATTGACCCAGCTTTCTTTGATCATTGAACTTTTAATGAAAAGGCTAAAGAACAAATTGATCTCAGTCAGTAGCAAAGCTTTCTGTTGTATTAAGTCTGTTCTTTTATCATGTGTTTAAATATGTTTGTTGTCAGATGTTTTTGTAAACATTAGTTTAGTTTGAAAATAGAGTTTGTTCAAGCAAGATGTGTGAATAATATTCTTGTATAAGAAATAGAACATGGTGGCAGCTTAGTGGATTTTTTATCGAACAAAGTCTAAAACCACGCATGATGTCAAGTAAGGGCAGAAAAAAACGAAATACTCGTAGGCAAAGGTATGAGGACAATGAGGAGGATGCTCAAAGTGAATTCAACTACATGTCAGAAAGGGATTCTAGAAAGACTGAAGGTGAGTCACTAGGTTTTGCATTGGGACAGACAAACCGAGAAAATAATGCAGTAATGTGTACTCCTACTCCTATGATAAATCTAACGTTACCAACTCCAGATACCTTCTCTTTTACTCCGAATGAGTGGCATTCCTGGAGGAATCGCTTTCAAAGGTACAGACGGGGGTGCGGTCTAGATAGCACTTCCGACGCTCGGCAAATCGATGTACTTTTGTTTACAATGGGTAGTAGGAGTGAAGATATTTTCGATTCGTTTTCACCAAAACCGAATACTTATGACGAGGCTCTTCGGGCCTTTGATGCATACTTTGTGCCAAGACGAAATATCATTTATGAGAGAACAAAATTTCTGAGACACAAGCAAGGGAGTGATCCATCTGAAAAATTCATAACAGATTTGCATGGTCTTGCAAAAACGTGTGCATGGGGTGAACTGAACGATGAGATGGTGCTTCTGGTCCTCATTATTGGTATGAAAGATGAGGCTCTAAGTGATAGACTCCAGCTGGACTCTTAATTGACTCTGGAGAAGGCGATTAATACCTTGCGCCAACACGAGGAGCTAGAACGCCAAAAACGTGAGCTCGCCAATACTGATGTTTTTATGGTGAATCAAACGTCAATACAAGTCGGTAAAACAAATCTGTCTGAAAGAGCTGGTGAACAGAAATTCACCGAGGATGCTATGAGAAAAAAGTGCAGGAAATGTGGTTATAACTGGCACGGATCACTGGCCGAATGCCCTGCTAGGAAAGCCAAATGTGACAAATGTTCCGAGATTGGACATTTTTTTCGATGTTGTCCCTCCTGCGAAAAGTGGATGAGAAAAAAACAAAAACGTTGTTAAGGAAATCGAACAGCAAGATTCAGACAGTGGTTATCAACAGGTTCCTGAGATTATCATAGGGAATATAGACAGCAGTGACAAAACCTGGGTCCAGGAGGTAAAAGCAAGCTGTGGAAACCAAGATTTAGGTCTTATAAAATTTAAACTTGACACAGCAGCTGATGTAACCATGATTCCAGTAGGAGTTCTTGGTGATTTTATTAAGACTCTGCCTCTAGGAAAGTGCAAATCCCCTGTGTTTAGCGCAAAGAAGAAAGAACGAATCAATATTTTGGGAACTTTAAGGCTAAAGCTTGAACATAAGGGTGTATCAGTTTATGATCTTGCGTATATTTCTGAGGAGATCACTGTTCCACTTCTTAGCAGACGTTCCTGTGAAGAGCTGAACCTGGTGAGGAGAATTTTTTCTGTAGATTCACATGATATTGACTGGGCTACTAAGTATCCTAATTTATTTCAAGGGCTGGGAAATATGAAGGGAGAGTACAAGATTGAAATGAAGGAGAATGCAGTTCCTTACGCTATATCCACCCCCAGGGTTGTACCAATACCTTTAAAAACCAAGGTGAAAGAGCAGTTAGACGATATGCTTGAGAAAGGAGTGATTGTTCCAGTTGAACATGCGACTGATTGGTGCGCACCAATGGTAGTTTGCGCAAAAAAGGGAGGTGGGGTTAGCAGGGTGTCCACAAAATATTTGTCATTAATTTCCATGACTATCCATGACCATTTACCATTGATTTCCATGACTCACGAACTTTACACGCAAATTATAATATAACATACACACACAAATAATACTGCCTGGACATGTTATTTTGCAGAAAATACTGAAATATGTAATAACAGATAACAATGGAGTACAATAGGTACAACAATGAACTAAAAAAAAACAAAAAATCATAAAATAATACAACTGTAATAAATTGAATTGTCGAACATTTGTGAAAAATCCTTAAAAATACTGCAACAGTCCGGGTTACGGCTGACTAGAGCATTGAATGGTCCCTTCAAATCCATCCATAATTGGAAATTTCCATGACTTTCCATGACTTCTTGCCTATTTCCCTGACTTTCAATGACCAAAATTGATTTCCATGACTTTCCATGACTATCCCTGACTTTCCAGAATGTGGACACCCTGGGTTAGGATCTGCGTAGACCTATCCAAACTCAACAACAGTGTGAAACGTCGGTTTTATCCTATCCCAAAGATCGAACTTTCATTGGCCGAGATCGCGGGAGCCAAGTACTTCAGCAAGATCGATGCGAATTCCGGGTTCTGGCAACTGAACCTTGCAGAGGAGTCACAAGATTACACAACATTTATCACCCCTTTTGGGAGGTATAAATTCCGTAAGTTACCTTTTGGAATTACGTCCGCTCCTGAAGAGTTTCAGCGCCGCATGTCAAAAGCTTTAGAAGGGGCAAAGAACTGTTTAGTGCACATTGACGACTGTCTGATATGGGGAAGAACGAAAGAAGAACACCGCGACGAGTGTCTTAGGGCCGTTCTAGAGAGAGTGCAAGCTAATGGAATCACCTTGAATAAGCAGAAGTCGGAGTTCTGCAAGAAGACTGTGACATTTCTGGGGTTTGTGCTGTCTAAGGACGGAATCAAGCCTTATCCAAGCAAGGTACAAGCGATTGTGGACTTACCAGCTCCAAGAAACGCTAATGAAGTACAAAGATTCATGGGCATGATCACTTTTTTGGCAAAATTTATTCCGAACCGCAGTGAGATTTTGGAGCCAATTACGAGCTTGTTAAAGACTAAAAACGATTTCCTTTGGGGACCAACTCAAGAAAACGCTTTTGTCACAGTAAAACAGATTTTATCATCAGAGCCATGTTTGACTGTTTACGATCCGCAAAAACCCTCGATTCTTTCTTGCGATGCTTCAAAAAAAGGTCTTGGAGCGGTTTTACTTCAAGTTGAAGGAGAAAACAAGAAACCTGTGGCATATATATCTCGGACTCTAACGCCTGCTGAAGAAAACTATAGTAACATTGAGAGAGAAGCGCTTGCGTGCACATGGGCAAGTGACCGTTTGAAATGTTTCCTGATGGGTAAAATGTACACAATTGAGACCGACCACAAACCGCTTGTCTCAATTTTCAAAACACAAAATTTGGACGAGCTCTCACCGAGGCTACAGCGGTTCCGAATGCGTATGATGAGATACGATTATCGCATGACCTGGACCCCAGGAAAAGACCTTGCCATAGCAGATCTACTATCAAGAAGTCCTATTCCGGCTGACGAAGATGGCGAATTGACCGAAGAAGTGGAAGCCTTCGTCCACGAAATCAGTCTGATTAGTATAAACACTACAGATGAAAATGTGACAAAGGTACTTCACTCACAAATGAGAGATCCAATCTGTGCACAACTTAAGTTACAAATTTTAGACGAATGGCCTGTAAAATCAAGTTTACGTAATGAGATTCAAGAGTACTTTAATGTGAAAGACGAGTTAAGTTGTATTGATGGGCTATTGCTTCGAGGAACTCGGATGATAATACCTCAAGAACTACGAGCGGAAATGCTCGAGAGGCTTCACAGTGGACACTTGGGTATCACAAAAACAAGGAAACGTGCTTTGGGAACCATGTGGTGGCCTGGAATTTCTCAAGAAATAGAAAGGAAAATCAAATCGTGTCCAGTGTGTATTCAGAACTCAACTAATCACAGTGAACCATTGATTCCGAGAACTGTCCCGGATTACCCGTGGCAAAATGTGTCTGTTGACTTGTTCAAACACGAAGACAAGTGGTATATGGTTATCGTGGATCACTACTCAAGATACTTTGAAGTCGAGGAAATGCATCGAATGAGGGCTTCAGATGTGATTCGGGTTTGCAAAACCACATTTTCACGTTTTGTGTTTATTCAGATAGTGGGACACAATTTCACCATATTGACTCAAGTGAATTTAAATTGTTTGCAAAGGAGTGGGGGTTCTCCACATTCAGAAGTAGTCCCCACCACCATCAGGGAAATGGGGCAGCTGAAGCAGCTGTGAAAGTAGCAAAAGGGCTAATGAAGAAAAACAAGGATAAATTTGAACTTGCCCTACTTTCTTACCGGACCTCACCTCTTGAAACCGGCTTTTCCCCATCTGAACTTATGTTTGGAAGGAAATTAAGAGACAATCTTCCATCTACTTTGGTTGGAAATCCTGTGGAAAATAAGAATTTTCTTGAGAGGGAGAATAAGTACCAGAATAAGTACAAGATACAATTTGATAAACGACATGGAGCGAGTGGTTTAAGTGAATTAGAAGTTGGAAGCATGGTATGGATCACAGATCTACGTCGACACGGTAAGGTAGTCAGGAAATTGAACGAACCACGTTCCTACCTTGTGGAAACTGACAAGAGAACTATTCGCCGAAACAGGAAGTTCTTAGTTCCTGCACCGTACTACGGAGGAGATGGAATTCTTTCAAACTGTTCATCCATGGTCCTTAATCGTCCATGCAACTCACGTGATCGTCCAGGAGCTGGCACAGTAACCCGTTACGGAAGGTCCATTAAGAAACCGAGGCGGTACTGAGGTTCATAAAGATGTGGACATCTTGAAGCGGGATGTTGTATTAAGTCTGTTCTTTTATCATGTGTTTAAATATGTTTGTTGTCAGATGTTTTTGTAAACATTAGTTTAGTTTGAAAATAGAGTTTGTTCAAGCAAGATGTGTGAATAATATTCTTGTATAAGAAATAGAACACTTTCATTGAATTCATTAACACTCATCTCCGAGTTAAAATACACACGTTGGTGTGACGCCAAATGTAATCAAATCAGAGCTGCTGAAGGGCAGTTTTCAACAGTTTTGTTTTAGATGTTCCACAACATTTTGATGGGAGAGCATTAAGCTATGCACTCTAGCTAGATCATGTCCTCTTGTTGCCTAATAGAAGCAAATTGATTTGTTAACCATTATGCTAAACTTGCTTAAGAATATCGAGAAGGTTTGAGTGTAAAATGAGAGGACGGGACGTTTTTCACTGGATTAGGCTAACAGAAATTAGAAAACAAGCCACATAAAATATATACTTTGGGAGATTTTTTGTTGCGACTTCACAAAAATATGTTTGCATGTTTGGTGGTTTCCAGTGAGACTGTGCCTACTAAAAAACTATCAATTAGGTTTTTAACTAACTTAACTACACTCCAGACTCTACTTTTGAATTACAATGCATGTTTTATCAGGAACCATACAGTGACGTCAAAGTAGTGAAACAAAACATTCCAACTTGGATTAAAGCACTTACTAGGAGCTTTGCGGAAGTCGTAAGGGGCTCCTCTGATGCTGACATTCCTCTCCCAACCGAGGCTAGTGAGAGCGTTGCCTATGTCTTTAAAGTAGCTTCCAGATGAGGCCATAGTTGGATCAAGCCACTCCACCACAAAGGGGTCGCCCCATCCCGGAATCCTCAACTCCACACCAGGGGCATTGGAGGTGGTGCGAGTGGCATTGTCATACACCAACCTCATATTGTCAACCTACAAAATTAAGAAGTTAAGCCTACATTTGGTTGATGAATGGGTAACAAATATAAAATACAAATTTTGACCTGATCTGGTGAAGTTGAAAGTTTTACTTAAAAACTTAGGCTACTGTTTGTACATAGTATCTGACTAAAACGACAGAATAAGGATTTAAGATAGTGTTGTAAATCCAACTGGTAGTGGTAGCCTTATTTGTACTGTTAAATTCACGCACTGGATAAGATGTAAATTATTTTTATTGAATAACTAAAAAGTTAACTGCCTTGCATAATAATTTGTAACTAGTGTCCCTGTTGCTCGAAATCGAGCAATTGCTAAGTATTACAGGCGTTATTTTAAACGAATAACAGTCATAATTTTTGGTGACTTTAAAAAAGAACCGACTCAAAGATAATGGAATACTCAAGATGTACATAACAGATCGATATAATCAACATTTCTTGTAGATATCTTATCATTTTTCAAAAGCTGATCTGGTTTTTTAGTGTTTTCTACAAATAGCCTTACTCATAGCCGCTTTAGGTTGTCCAAACGATTATAAATATAAAAAAAACACATTATTTCTATTTCTTCTCCTTGGTGGTGTTCTATGACTTTCTTATGTTTCCATAGTTTGCAAATCGGCTCTTTCAATGATTACTAAGAAATGCAGCATAGTGTTAATTCAGTTTTCTTTTTAGTATATAAATTTATCCAGGCTCTCTCGTTTTTTCCGTTGCAATATTTACGCCAACCCAAATTCAAATTAGACTATTTCATTTCAACCAAGTAAGTAAATTTTTGTAGCTAACTAACTGTTTAATTAGCAAATGTATTGACTGTTTACAATTACCATATGTTCTTCTTCTCACTTTTAATTTCTGACAACAGCTGGAGTTTCAAAACAGTTTTTGTTTCCCATGTTAATCTTATGGAGAAATATGAACTTTTAAAGGGCCCCAGTGCCTCACCCTCTAATTATTTCAAAAAAAGAAAGTTTCCTGCACAACTTCACGTTAAGCTCTTTCCAATGACACCAAGAACATGTAAATCGGTTCAGTAGTTTCGGAGGAGTAATTGTCACAAAAAACCTGCTTGCATATTAAATAAATACTAGTGCACCTGTTGCTCGAATTCGAGCAATTGCAAAGTATTACAGGCTTTATTTCAAAACGAATGACAGTCATAATTTCAGATGACTTAAAAGAGTCAACTCAAAGATAATGTAATCAATGACTCCACTTCAGTTATCAAAACTGAAAACGAATGCTCTTGTGTGAATCATGGGTTAACTATAAACAGCTGTTTTAGTATGCAATTAATACAAATTATTCGTCTGTTTAAGTAAACAAAATCTTTTCTTCATAAGAAATACATTGGGATTTTGATGGCCTGTGGGGCAAAGCCCGAGGACTTTTATTACAGGAATTGGTAAGCTGAGAATGTCATAACACCTATAACCTAACCTTACGGTGGACTATGTTTTAGGTTTTAAGTTAGATTAGGAAGATTGTTATAAACTAATAAAAATCTATTTTAGACGTCAATTTACCGGTGTGGTAGGTATAATGCTAAGGCTAACTTTTTAGGCAAAGTGATACAGGTCACTTGCTTATCGTAAGTTAGTCTGAATGATTAATTTCATGTTTCATCACATTTAGCATTTAGACAAATTGAATTTAAACACACTTCGCTAATTTGTAAATTTTGTATAAGCCTACTCAATGAATTTCCCATGACACATTTTCCATATAAAAAAATGTAAAACTAACTTAAACCAACAAATGATCTAAGCAGATGATTTATTATTAGTGTAGGCCAAAGTTTACCTATTGACCTGTCCTATTCCTGCCTCTGGACCAAGGACGGAAACATAAAGTAGGCCTATGGAAGTAAGAAAGTAGATTTCATAATTTAGTTAAATTCTAAGAGAATGTTTTTTTTTAAACTGTGTTCACCACTGTTTAATATAAGTTAGGTACTAACCCAACAATCCATTACAATTGGCACCAGCAACTCCATATTGAGCCAAATGTTAAAGAAATCTTTTGTAGTCTTGGTGCATATATAATGAACGACTTCAGGTTTATTAAGCTTAGCATCAACTTGGCTTCCTCCGTCCCCTGGAACTAAAAAAAATTCGCTAAAATGTAAGATCACAGATTCATTTATGAAATGACAACAGTAGGGACGATCTAAATATTGTGCACTGAAACTGTGGTTTCTCCTAGTCCATTTAGGGACTAAGTTTTAGAGAAAAGTGGGTAGACTTCCGTATCTGTTGGCACAAACAACCGAATGAAAATCTCAATTATTCGATTGTTTTATTCTATACCTACATACATAGGTATATTGTTTGGTTACTAACCAAATGATATATCGAATAATTGATATATCAATCGATATTTTCATTCGGTTGTTTGAGCCAACAGATATGGAAGTCTACCCACAGAAAAGTTCCTGCCAACTCCTTTACATAACCAATAGGTAAGTTAGGCCTAGTCATGTACAAGTTTGGACACTGGTACAGAAATGGTTCGCAGCAGTGGCGGATCCAGAGGGGAGGCGACCGCCCTCCCCCCCCCCCTCGGGCATATATAAATATATTTTTTACTGCATGTAATACTGTGCAAATTGCGTAAAATAATTAGTCACAATAACTTTGGAATACAATGAATACAATGAATTTATTTGGCCAATCAACAACAACATTGTGCCAATTTGTGCCATTGTGCCATTTTGGAGACTTAGTTTACAAAAATGTTTGGGGGGGGGGGTGCCCCCGAACTCCTCAGACCCCCTGGTTGCCCCCCCCCCCCTTGTGGCTGTTCTAGATCCGCCACTATTTCGCAGATTGTTTTTCATGGCCCTGCAAAAGAAATAGCCTAAATAAAATTTATAGGTAGGCCTATCCGATCTTTAGGCTATTATTTTAAGTTTACGGAAAGTAAATCCAAGCAATACTGACCTAACCTTACTAAAACTGAGCATAAACTGTTTTTTTTTTTATTTAAGATAAATTACAGATAACTTAGGTACTTACTAAAAATAACTGGGTGAACTTTTCCAGGCTCAATTGCAGGGATGATAAACAACATTAAAAAAATTGACTGTGGACTAAGCATTGTTTGCCTCTTCTTGCTCCTTACCAATGCAACTTCACCACGTCAACATTAAATAGTTGACCAAAGTGTAACTAATTAACTGTGTTAAACTTAACTGACTAGAAAACTGATAACTAATTTGACACACTCAAATCACTTAAGTTAACCTCTTATTCACTATGAATAGCTTCTTAGTAAGTAAACTGAACAATTGGTTTTTACTGTTGGCAATGAGGAACTGATGGGATGATATGACGGATAAGTTGTTATTATAATCAAAATTAAATAATATTACGTATTTACAAGTCCTAAAAAGTTAAAACACTTCACTTTGAGTTCAAATCCACGGACACAAGACAATGACAATAGGCCTAGTAAAAGTAAACAAGAAAAGAAACAAAACAAGACGTCTGTCAATGTCAAAGGCCACCGAGAATGAACAGACCAATCAGATTACAGGAACTAAACGCCAGCTGTTTGACGACAGAGATCAAGAACAATCCAACAATAATTTAATTTTTGCTTTGGACCTTGATAAAAGAATCACGCGAGGGTCAATCATCGATGTCGATGGGGTCAATGAGATTGACTTCAATTTTAATCAATAGTTTATTTTACAACTGTTAATAGACAATTTCTTTTGAAACAAAAAGCTTGTGTGAAGTCATGTGAAGTATTCTAATTGTAGTATCTATGTACTAGGCTAGGTACCCATTTGCTTTAAAAATGTAATACTGTACCAGTAATTAAGCCTTGCTTGATTAAATTTGATGTACTTGTTGGAATTTTTTATTAGAAGATAAAGATTGCACATTAGCCTACTTGTACTTTGCAATCCCCTGTAGAAATGTTTACGCACGAGCCGCAGGCGAGTGTGAAAAGTTTCTCGAGTGCAGCAGTATCTTTGCGCTCGCGTTACACATTATTCCCTACAGTTACTGTAAAGTAAACAACACCTTTTAGGTTATATTAAGCACAGAAAACATACTACTAAGGCACCCAAGCGTTGGGATGAACAAAAATATAATGTTAGCACGAAACAACAAGCTAAAAGTTGCAGTTAGTATCAAACGGCCACCTTTTAAAGCCTTCAGAGTGGCAACATCGCAAGTAGGGTTGTAACAGCTGTTTTCTTTGGAGGCGGCTAATGGTAATTTGTGTATATTTGAACAATACAAAAGCGTGTTTACTGGCCTATGAAAATATTGACTCTAATTTAGTGTACAAAATTTATTTTAATTCAAACATTATTTTGGTATTCAATCCTATATATTTTATTTTCAATCTTTTAATAAATGTATATGTTTATAAATTTAAATGAATAATACGCGTGTCAAGTGTCTGCCATGTAATCTTATGGGATGGCTAGCGCTAGACCACACCATTTGCAACGTTGCCAATTCTACCAGGCCGCGGCCTGGAGTTAAAGGTGGCCGTAGTATCAATACTCAACTCAAAGGCTGTGAAACGCTGCCCTATAACTGATCGTTGATCGTAGTTGTAGTATCTTTAAGTGTTGCCAACTTTTTTTTCATGCGTAGACATATTATGTGCCTTATAAAAGCACACTTTTGTGTTGTTTGGAATACTGGAGTGCGTCAAAGGTCAAAGTAAGTAAATGCAGGAATTAGCTACTTTGCGTGCTATAATCATAGGAAGGAAAGAAGTCAGCCGCTTTGTCAGGTACAGTAACTGTAGGAAAATCCTATTTAAAGACAAGAAAACCACGAAGATAAATTTATCTGTACTAAAACGACAAAACCTGTAATTGCTACTCATTACTCCAGTTCAAACGTGACTTGGCCTACCTCTTGATACGTGAACAAGTTATTATGGTAGCATGTAAAAAAAGTGTCAATTGAAAAAAGATTGTTTCGCCACTAGCCTAGTTAAACAGCTAACACCTCCTTGATTACTTGTAATTCACACTTAATACTCCTTTTCCTAAAATACCCCAACACCCTACTGCGGTGTCTAGCCATCGGGCGTGCCTCCGAGCCTCCCATACATCTAGACGCTCGCCACTGCCATATCAATCAAGAGGGATAACCGGAAGTCGATGTTTACCCGACGGCTTACCTAAATAAGGATATCCTTCACCGGATATTCCGCTGACGAGGATACACAGATGTGCGAAGCGCCTCTGCCGATTGTTGTGTTTTAAGGGTTTTTGTATCCCGTTTTGGCCCACCCCTTCCGTCCATCTCGACTGGGGAGGGGGAGGCCATTCCATCCGGACTGTGGAAGTGCGTATGGTTCAGGTCCGAAAGTAATTTAAGATTTAAGTTAGGAGTTCATTCGCTCAGATTGGACAAACGAAACACGACATCTACAGAAAACCAGACAGAACTAACAATAAAATTGGCTTCAGCTGTTCCATAAGGATGGGAAATCTACTAAGGGAATATGTTTTATCTTTGACTATGAATACAACAACTGTATACTTCTGTATCCAATAGTCAATGGTTTTATCAGTTTTATCTAAATCTATACAGGATCTTTTGTACGTCACTACTCACTACAAACTTCATTTGAAGTAGATTATAGTAACTTTAAACAGAGTTTGAAAAGCGCCGCACTTGTGGTCAATGAAATAAACCCACACAGCTGTAGGTGAATCACAGCTTCGAGCGGAACGGCGCTTTCCAAAGACGTCATCTGATACTCAGCGTTGTAGATATAAAGTCAATGGTTGTACATAGGGGTTGGGCGTGGTAGCATTGATACCATTAGTGTATTATTTTATCAATGATAATTTACGTCATTTCCATATGTATGACTAGTCAAATTTGACACTCCAGCTTAATACCAGCATGGTAAACCGGGTTATGTAGTTCTACAATTTTACAACAAGTGCGTTTAAAAACGGAATAGTATTCTACCATAGATTAAACATACGGAGTATGTTTAATCTATGATTCTACGCAACGATTGCGTAAAGATAGTGTTAACGACACGAGTAGAGAATTTAAGCACAGACAAGGGAAACAAATTTTTATTTCCTTAGTCAATGATTTAAGGTACTAGCCTTAACACTATTTACGCGAGTTGCGTATAATGCTTTACCTATGTCAGAGTTTTAATTACTAAAAATCACTACTCATAACTTCTAAGAGAAGTTATGTTTTCGTTTATAACCCTCATTGCCACTGCCAGTGATGCAACCAAACATTGTACCATAGATTAAACAGTAGATTTCTCATCCTTATGGAACAGCTGAAGACAATTTTATTGTTAGTTCATTTACGGTTTATGTAGAGGTCGTGTTTTGTTTACAATTTGTTTCCCGTTATTACAGCCATTTAAAACCTCGTTTAACCAAATAATACGATCTAATCATAAACAATAACTTGTCCCCTAGTTATATAACCAAACAGTAAAGCACAAATCAAGAAATTACCCTAAAATAATGGAAACAAAGTTTCGTCAACACTAGCGCCTTTGTGTCACGTACATGAACTAGACACGAAAAACGTGCTTCAAAATTTACAATGGGATGAGAAGTCTACTTGTGTTGGTTAGTCGGAGTATGTTTTATCTATGGTTAGTCTATGATAAAACATACTCCCTTAGTAGATTTCTCATCCTTATGGAACAGCTGAAGACAATTATATTGTTAGTTCATGTACGGTTTATGTAGAGGTCGTGTTTTGTTTACAATTTGTTTCCCGTTATTACAGCCATTTAAAACCTCGTTTAACCAAATAATACGATCTAATCATAAACAATAACTTGTCCCCTAGTTATATAACCAAACAGTAAAGCACAAATAAAGAAATGAACCCTAAAATAATGGAAACAAAGTTTCATCGACACTAGCGCCTTTGTGTCACGTACATGAACTAGACACGAAAAACGTGCTTCAAAATTTACAATGGGATGAAAAGTCTACTGATTGTACCAAACACTGATTGCACCACTCAACAATTACTGAACAGCTTTTTTTAAAGTTCCAACTATTACAATTTTACTTTACTTCTTCTCTCTCAATCGTTGAACCTCATTGGTCCGTTACCCGTGTTGTTACGAGTAAAACTATGCTGTTATGAAAGTAAAAAATGCTGGCATGAGAAACTTTTCAATTCTACGAACTGAACTGAAACGGCTACTTAAAAAAATGGTCGTAGGTAAATAATTTTAAACTGATTTATACGAATAGTGTTTGCAACAAAACTAATATATCGCAACAGTTTACTTTATTTGCCATAGACGTATAACAAAACCTATGCTTTTCAATTGACTATACAGTATACCAGAAAATGGTTATGGTATTTAGTCAATGGTAATACATTTATTCAACCACTCCGATAACCAAATGCTTTAACTAGGCGATAATGCTTTGACTATCTAGGTTTAGTGTGAAATTACTTGTGAAATTTGCCAAATGGTTTAGGGCTACGACTTGTCTAACTTTCCAGAATGTAACAGTTGGATGTAACAACTAAACAATATTTAAAAAGTTGAGGGAGAGACCTATGCCGCGTTTTTTTACCTCGATATATGTAAGAATGTATACCTTGTGTAGCTTTGTCACTGCAAAGACAACAACACATTTCGTGAGAGTGACTCTGTCTTTATTTTGGGCAACATCAACTAATACGTTATATATATTGTACAAAGATGTTCTTTGCCGTTTGAAGGTAAAATAAAATAAAACAAAATAAACTGATCCTTTAGCCAGGACCATTTATAAAATAACCAACGATCAAGGTACGGTTGAGTCAAGTTTCTAACCACGATAAATCTGATTACTGTAATTACTTGTTTAGGATCAAAGTGGCAACATTCTGATTTTATTAGCAATCATGAGTCAGATAAACTTTATAAACTGAATAAACTAGATAATCTGTATACCAGTTCCTAGACAAAAAATCAATTCCGAACATCTCTGGTTTCCGTTAAAATATCCGGAAAATAAATAAAAGAAACGACTCATAACACTAAACACATCATCAGACCAAATAGGCGAATCTTAGATGTTCAAGATTCGCCTATTGGGTCTGATGATGATTGGAGTGTCCAATCGAAATCGATCACCACTTGCCATCTTTTTGTATATTTACCGTCTTGTGAGTAACAGTATAAGCGTAAATATATGTTTTAAGTGTTATAAGACGTTTCTTTTATTTACTTTCCGTAAATTTAGTAACACGTACAATGCTGATCAAGAAGTTAAAATATCAACAGACACACGTAACTAACAAAATGCAACAACCAAACCACTTTATCGACGGTATTCCTTGCTGTTTAACAAAAATTAATATTACTTATTTTCTGTGAGAGCAATTAATGCGAATGTCACAATCCTAGATCCTGTTGCTGTCATAATCCTAGATCCTAGT